GGAAGACGTATAGAAGGTGACCTCATACCGTCATGACAGAACTCTAGTTGTGCACATTCCACCAGTGTTGAGACGGCTACTACAGTAACAGATGAATTTGTGATTCAAGGGCCAATGGGTATAGACAATTCATGACGCTTAAACTGTATATAGATTCATTCCGTTCTTTGCATATAACGGGGCTTGGACTGAACTGAGCGCATGGCTGCTACCTTTAAAATATTATACATGATAACATATGACTGAGATATGGAATCCTGGAAGGGACATTGTCGCGTTGTCGCATTTTGTCGCCCTTTGGAGGAATAGAAAAATATATATTCAAAACGCGACATACGACATCGTGACAATGCGACAAATGGCCGAAATGTCGCGCTTTGCTTAATTTTTCCTCAATTTGGTTGTTTTTGAGAGGGCGACAACGCTACAATGTCCCTTCCAGGATTCCATACAGAGAGGATGTTGACCAGCTTTGAAACAATGATCTAAATTGATAATGGTATGCAAAGAGAACCATACTATCCAGGATCCAGGTGTTTATAGTGTGTGTGCGTGCGTGTGTGTGTGTGCGTGCGTGTGTCGAGGGGTGAGGCAGACACTTATACTATGCACACATTCACCCTATCTATGTTTAATTGCCACAAATATAGCATTCAGTGTGCCTTTTGTCGTGTTATGTATTGTTTGCTAGTTGTTTCCCTCACCTACCCATAGCCTTCTAGTCAACCTAGTACATTTGCGAGAGGACAGATTGGTGCGAAAATTTGTTCTGATTGGTGCGAAAATCAGTTCCTGTCCAAAACTTGCACACGTTTCTTATTTGTTTTAGTTGTGAAAAGGCAACTCAATTAGATAAACATATGTCCTAAAACGGTTAGGCTTATTTAATATTTCAGGCCTTCAGTCCGCCGGAGTGTGTGTCATCGCGCCAGAGCATCCCAACAATTTTACGACAAGCGACATGTGTCCATTTTGCATGTTTTTATGTGTGAACCTGATGTTTTATGGTACTTCTGCTCCTTCTCGGTCAGTAAATATTTGTGAGTCCTTTTTCCACACAGAACAGAAATTCATGTATATTCAAACGCATATGCTAATGATTAGACTAATGAGTTGGATGCACTTTTCTGAAAAGTTGTCTGTCGTCTATTATATGAATATATGTGTACTAGAAAATGTAAAGATTCTAAATATGCGTATACCATATCTTTTTCGCGAAATATTAAAAAAAAAGAAGTTTTTGTTAGGGCTGCGCAATATAACCGGTTTACCGGTATTTACCGGTTCAGACATGAAAACGATACGTATTGCGATACGCTGATCGAAAACCGGTATTTTGACTTGCATTCGGAAAACTTCGTAACAATCGGAAATATTCGGATATTTCCTTTTTTCTTTTGTGCCAAATATTATTCACATTTTTATTTTTAATGCTTAATCAAGCATAGTGATTTTGCTGTGTATTTGCTCTATAAATCAAGCATTACCTCGATTATAAGTTACTGTAGTTTTTTGTGTAAAAATACTTCACGCAATATATTGCAATATATATCGCAATACATGCTTTCGCATCGCAATATGAAAATTATCTGCAATAGTTTCCAATACCCACCCCTAGTTTTTGTACTTGTAAGCATATGCCTACCGTAAAACGTTCCACCTATATCATCACATACTGCTCAACATTAGGTAAGGATCATGAAGGAGCCAAATGATAACCATTTTGATTATTGTTGAGTACTATGTACATATCAATAATTACCTGTATCCCATGTCATGCTATTTATGTCCAACATAACGAAAATGCATCATATATCTATAAAAGCTGAAACAGATCCAAACCTTGTACCACTGAAAAAAACAGATTTAAGGAAAATAGGACAAGCATCAAGATTCTGGTGGATCATTGTAACCCAGGAACCACCAGCCACGAGCGTTAGTTCCGATCGAGGTTCCTGGACCAGGTGAAGGCAGATGTCGTTTTCTCCATCCTCCATGCATACATACATACATGCTTGCATTAATTAGTTCGTGTGGGAATAAAACACTGCCGTCTCACCAGGCCTGGTATGCCATATCTACAGCGGAAATATAGCTGTTGTCTTGTTGTGGACCTCGTGCAGTCTTACTGACACGTGCCATGCCAGACTTGGAACTTTGTATGCAATAAAATATATCTCGTTATCTGGTGTTTTTATAATTAGTGTTGTGTTAATAGACATTAAACAGTTTATTACTTTTATTCAAACCGTAAGAAAACACATTCGCCTCCAATCAGCCAGTTTACTCTGTGTAACGCTTCCATTTTCAGCTTCCCTGTGCTGAGCTCCATCACTTGACGTGAATTGACGTTGAATTTGTACGTCATACTTGTAAATTACTTCACGCGTGATTTTTAAAACACTCCAAACCGTCGACTTCCTCTGTGTGTGGACTCAGATACTGCAGAAACGAACAGCCCTTCTTTTGTTCCTAAAGGCTTCCAAGCGCCAGTCGGGATAACAATAACTGCCATCCTTCAGAACTTATTTTGGTATGATGCAGTACAAGAGCAACATTCATTGTTTCTGATTTGTCCTCAAACACCATAGATAAATATCTCAGGCAGTTGGGCGACACGGCGATCTGTCAAAAAGTCGATATTGACACGCTGAGACTAATGTAACTGCACTCCCGTCTCCGCTACCCGTGAAGATCCGGGGTTAGAATTGGTCTTTAGCAACCCGTGCTTGTGACGAGCGACGAACGGGATTGGGGTTCGCTGACTTGGTTGACACATGTCATCGTATCACAATTGCGGAGATCGATGCTCATGTTGTTGATCACTGTATTGTCTAGTCCAGGTTCGACTTTTTTTACAGACATCTGTCATTTAGCAGGTTTTGCTGACTGTTGCGTTAAACAACAAAGACGCACAAAAAAAACATAAAAATATCTTGATGTGATTATGATCCTAGTGAATGAGTGAGTGATTTTAGTTTTACTTCGCTTTTAGCAACATAAATAATAATAAATAATAAGTGCATTTATGTTGCGCTATTTTCCATCCGTTGCGGTTGCTCAAAGCGCAGGTATCAAGGATAGTACTTGGAGAAGAGATGGGTTTTAAGTCTGAACTTGAAGACAGCTAAAGATGGGGAGGTTTTTATATCAAAAGGAAGACAGTTCCAGAGAGGAGCACAGAATGAGAATGATCTCTGGCCGAAGGATTTGAGATTGGTCCTGGGGATGGTAAATAGAAGCTGATCATTGGACATACCAGCAATATCACGGCGGGGGACACCAGAAATGGGCTTCACACATTGTACCTATGTAGGGAATCGAACCCCGGTCTTCGACGTGAGGAGCGAAGGCTTAAACCACAAGGATACCCAACCACCCCCTTCTTAGTGAAGGCAGGGTTATCGGTCGTGTACATATTCACAGTAATATAAACAAAACAGACATGTGGTTTTGGATGTGACATCCCAGTGATGAAGAACGCCATTGTATTTGTCTGATGCTATGGCGGTGCAACAGTGAGTGGTAACTAGGACAGCCTCAACACAGATTAAGCATCAAGCCAGATCACGTCGGATACGGGCTTTTGTTCCAATGGGATTCACACCCGATTAATTTATTAAAATGATGGTGTAATCTGTAGCGTTAAATTACTACGTGCAATGATGCACTCCGTCCAGAAAAAAAAGATCGTTAAACATGTTAAATAGAGCTGAAAATCAGGCTATACAACGTTTTCTGGTTGGACCAGACGTCAACTTGTTTATGCCAACCTCCGACAGATTAATCCTGTTTAGAGCGGATGTTAAGATGCGTGCACTATATGTTCAGACATACATTTAACAGTGTACTGCCACCGGTGAAACTTTGGTTTTTCCTACAACGAGGTTAAACTGTATACGAATACATACAAAATTCAACTGTGTTGACTTTGGCAATATTACAGCAATGTCATGGCGGAGGGAAATGCTTATTCTTTAGAATTTACGATAAATTTCTCGAAATAAAATTAATATCAAAATCTAAACATAGAGCCGGTTATCCGCCATTAGATGCGGTGTATCGTATCTCTCTTTGGATGGAGACCTAACATGCTGCAGCATCGAGAATGGCGGGAGTTCACGCTTCAGTTTCCATCCAATTACTCAGGACAAACAAATGTAATCAACTGACAGGCATTTCTGGAACACTGCCAATGAAGACACTTTGTCTGTCTGTCTGTCTCTGTGTGTGTGTGTGTGTGTGTGTGTGTCTCTCTCTCTTTCTGTCTCTCTCGCTCTCTGAGGGAGTAGGTTGTGAATCACCTCCTGCAATGTTGCTAGGGACCTATTCTAGCTCGTAAAACCATAAATATTCCCTATTTGGTATGAATAGTTCCGTAAATACGACACAAAAATCTTTCTTTTTCAAAGAATTGTAGAATTAAAAAGGTTCGAATACAACAAGGTTGCATATTTCAATACACAAAATTCTTACAAGTTTCCACTTACTGTATTGACTGATATCATTCAAAATAATTCGTGGTATCAAGAGAACTGCTTTCAAGCTATGAACATAACTAAACTGAAGATTGTCCTTTGGGATACATTTCAACCTGCGCTCCATGGGGTTATGGCTGGTGAATATCAACCATCATTTTCCCTCACCTCAGCCCATGGATAAATAATGCCAGCAAGCAATAGCAAGCAATAAATAATCCTATATTGTAAAGTCTCAAGAGTCGGAAATAATATTTTCTGTGGTCTCAGTATAAGGGAGGTAACTCCCCGCGTTTATTGACTGGGCTCATGTCTACCGTGTGACAACAGTGAAACCGGTTTATATGTCGGAAATGGCCGAGTGACACCGATCCATACAATTATTATAGGAAAAACACCTTTTTTAATACAAAATATAATTTTGAATATATTCTATAATAACGAACCATAATAGCCGATAGCAGTTCTTTTTATCAAAAACTATCGTATTGTGATTATTTTATCAAATCTCGTTACGAGCGAGAAGTGCAACAGCGAGCATTTCCCCCGCCAAAAGCCGGGTGTACATACGACAAATAAAGGACGGCATAAGAACGAATTAGCCCTGAATCACAATGTCTGAATCAGAGCCAGAACCAGACAGTGGTCCTGAGGATGAACCAATGGATCAATCTGTAAGCATTTGTCACTAAGTTTGGCCTGTTATTTGAGAAGGGTTTATTAAAAGCAATGTAGTCATTTCTTTTTCTTTTGTGTGGAGCAACATGCATGAGGATGTTGTTCAGTTTTCGATCACTAATTTTTTTATCATCATTGTTTGTGTTCTAAATCATGTTAACATCTACGAGTAAATTGAAGGTTTCTCTTCTGCGTTGTACATTCTTGTGAATTTAGTATTTCTTTATCTGAAGTTTTCAGTGATTACATTTCTTATTCATTCACTAGATGTAAAATGGCGTTTAGAACTAGCAGAAATAAACAATTGTTTAAAGGGGAAAATGTATATGGCACAGTCAGTAATTTACAAATGGTCAAACCAAAAAGTACGATTTGGAGGAGAGGTAAGAGTTCCGCCCATAATCCCCGCTTGAAATGTCGAAATGTAAATTGATGTTGTAGTGGAAATAAAAATTAAAGGGTAGGTAATCTTGACAATATAGAAACTAATGAAATATCGGTAGTACTGCACTTTACCGGGCGCACTTTTTCAGATTAATTAGCGCTGCTGGGGTTCCCTAACCCTAAGGATCGTAAAGGGTGGCATACCCTAACCCTAAGGATCGTAAAGGGAGCAGCGAGGGCTGCGCCCGGTAAAGTGCATTCTAGCCGAAATATCTCCTGAGTCCTGTGAAGTCTTAAGTTTTATTTTCCCTTTGAAAATGACGAGCAGCAGGTCGGTAATGAATCCACATTTATTACCCAGGTACCCTACCTGCTGCATGTCTTATTTGAATGAAGTGATATGTCTGCTTGGGAATTATTTTACATATAGCCAGTGTAGATGACAAAACCTTTCTTTGCGGGTGCTAAAACACATGCAAAGAACAAGTTTATACCTCATGCTTTAGCTTTTGTTTTGCCTGTAATGATACATTAACTGTGAGTTCCTCCAAGTATTTTGTCATGTCTTGTTTTCTATGTTCACACAATGGTGATAAAGAATAATCAACAAAATTGAAAAGTATATTTCCATGTCAAGACTTGTCAGCTTTTCAGCTCATTTGTGTATGCGATGATCACGATAATATCATTATGTATGTTCCTGTACATTTCAGCCAATGCCAGGTCCGTCTGTGCTGTTGAAGTCACCACCTAAAAGAGGGGGAGAGGATAATGAAGAATTTGAAGAGAAGATTGTGAGTGTTCAGCTTCATAATAAAGATGACATGTTCTGATGTTTAGTGTACACAAATTTGGTCTATTTTGGTCAAAATAATCACATTTAGTCATCTTCTGTTGAAATTTTAAAGATTATAGCAAAGATGTATCAAAGTATATGTGTCCCTCTTGTCACACTTGTATTAGACGACCGCCTCCGCGTTGTAGTAGTTAGAGCGTCCGCCCGGAGAGCGGAAGGTCGCTGGTTCGATCCCGGACCGCGTCATACCAAAAGACGATATAATATGGTACTTGGTCCCTGCCTGGCTCTCGGCATTAATGGGTACAACAAGGACTGGTCAGCTCGGAGGCAGTATAATGTGTCTGAGTGGGGTATTCATGCTTCACTGCGGCATGGTATCTCAGTGGGCTAGCACTATAAAACCAGCTTCAGTGTGGGCTAGTACAAGCAGCCTCACATACACACGCATGCACGTCATCATATGAGCGAAATATTCTCAAGCACGACGTAAAACCCAATTTCACCTCACCTCACCTTGTATTAGACCCAAAATCAAAAGTTAGCCATATTTTTTTATTAGGAGCCTTTCCTGGGTTAGTATAAATCAAACAGACCAGCCTTGTCATTTGAGTGTGAACAGACTGAAGTAAGTATCAGTTAAAAAGGCAGGGAGCAATTCCTCACAGATTGCATGGGACACTAAGATGTTGATTATTTTTTCTTTAACTGTTAAAGCAATTGTTTTTGACTTACATGGTTTTTTGTGTATTTTTATAGCAAAATGACAGAAGCAATCGTTTTGACTTCTTGCTTCAACAAACTGAGCTCTTTGCTCACTTTATGTCAACTGGGACCAAAACAGGGGCTGTTGCACCGACAAGTCCCCTCAAGATGAAGCCAGGCAGGCCAAAGGTCAAGAAGCTGGATGAGAAGGCTAAGCTTGTTGCTGCAGGAGAGTAGGTGGACTGCTGACTTGATTCATACTACATGGGGATTCTGGGTTAGATGGTCTCAAGGAACCTAATCTGGTTATAAGAGGTGACCAATGGGATGGTTGTCAGACTCTGTGACTTGGTTCATTGCATGTCCTAGTACCCTGTCAATACTGGTCATTGTTTGTGATACAGTCACTAGATTTTCTGCTCCCAGGGTTCTCACAGGCTTAAAAAACCTGCAATTTGAACGTTTTACTGCAAAATTCAGTTGAGCCTTGATAAGGCCCTGATTCTCAGTGACATGCCCTGAAAAGGCCCAAAATTTAGTAAACTTGTAAAGTTATTATTTTACAGGACACATACATAAAAAATAACTTGCAATGACAGTACGTTTCAATTAATCGTGTTTAACAATATATTCTCAGAGCAGTGATGAAACCAAGAGTTAGCTCCCTTTTATGGTCTGTCCAACATTTACCAACTTCATGTTTATTCAACTAGTTATGTTTTATATGTGTTTTGATTGGGCTTTAAACTCATGAAAGATTTAGCAACAAACTCGCTTTCGCTTGTTTGATACCAAATCATTAACTCGTTTAATAAAATTGGTATTACACGGAAGGTCGTTAGTATCCTCTATGTTCATACCTTACGGGAAAATCTCCGCAGCCCTCACCGGATCACCACAGTTACAACACATGTTTCACTTAACACCAGCCCATTGTCTCACATATGCCCCATGTGTTTACAACCGGAAACAGCTGACCAGATACTTTTTTCACATATGCCCTTTATGTTTACAACCGGAAACAGCTGACCTGATACACCTTAGGAAATCTTACTCAATGAAAACCCCCAGTACCTGTTGATCTATACCTGTATTTTGTTTTTGTCATGAAAAGGTTGGGGTTTTTTTTTGTTGTCGGTGCTTGTTGACTGTTTGATGATCATTGTACTCTATACTAATTTGGTAAACTTTGCCACGCCCTTTGTTGTAGTCACCGGCATCGCAGAACCGAGCAGGAGGAGGACGAAGAGCTATTGTCTGAAAGTCGAAAGACAACAGCCGTCCTCACCAGATTCGAATCATCCCCTTCGTGTGAGAAAACTACTTTCATGTTCAAAGACTGAAATGGATTCATGGGTGATGTTTGCTAGTTGTATAATAGATCAAGTTAACCGAAACTGACTAAAATGCCTCACATCTTGGTCTTTGGGGGAAAGATGGTTACAATTTTATTTGTCAGATAAAACAAACTCATATTTTATTTCTGTTGTCCAATAGTTCAGAAAAAATTCTGCAGAGCATTTTTGTGTCATATCAATGGTGATATGTCTAAAATTAATTCAGGGAGGTGGGGTAGCCTAATGATTAAAGCGTTCACTCGTTACACTGAAGACCCGGGTTCGATTCCCCACATGAGTGCAATGTGTGACGCCCATTTCTGGTGTTCCCCTGTCGTGATATTACTGGAATATTGCTAAAAGCGGCGTAAAACTAAACTCACTCACTCACTAGTGTGGAGCAGTGATTTTCGGTATATACGCAACTGTGTCTGCCAGCTTGTTAAAATTCAATCTGCTGTCACTATGGCTAAAAGCAGCATAAAACCATACTCACTCACTCTAGAATTAATTCAGAAACATTTGCAATTTTTTATTGATTTCCAGTTTGTCAACTGTATGTCTTTGTATTCTAGACATTAAAACAGGAGAAATGCGAGACTACCAGGTTAGAGGCCTGAATTGGATGATCTCCCTATACGAGAATGGCATCAACGGAATCCTTGCAGATGAGATGGTACGCATTACTGTGGTTCTATAAGTTGTCGACGCGATTGGGTAGCCCAGTAGATAAAGTGTTTGCTTCTCACGCCAAAGACCGGGTTTGATTCCTTGCATGGGTACAATGTTTGAAGCAAGCCCATTTCTGGTGACCCCTCAGAGGTATTGCTGGAATATTGCTAAAAATGGCACAAAACTAAACTCACTCACTCCCTCACTATACAGTTGTCAATGTCAATGCAGAGTTGTTTCCCTTGGAAACCCCTGCAACCTGCGATCATGGTTTGGAGTGCTGGTTTGCCCTGATTGTGTTTCAAGGGTTGTCAGCACCATACCAACTACCATAATGTTCCCAGTGGTGTTAACCCAACTCACTCACTCAGTTGTGGCACTGAAAGATATGACAAGCCTCCTGAGGCTCCTTGTCAAACTGAGTGGTGTCTCAGTGGGCGAGGGGCGGTGGGGTCGCCTGGTGGTAAAAGAGTATCTCATCGAGCCCATTTGCAGTGATGGCTGTGAAGCCCAGTGATGCTGGAATATTGTAAAAGCGCACAAAACTGAACTCACTCACTCCCTCACCATTTCTGTGTGCAACCCCGCATCATGGTTTGGAGTGCTGGTTTTCCCTGAATGTTTCTGGTGCTGTCAGCACCATAAACCAGTAAAACCAAACTCACTCAGTGGACTAACACTATAATTTGGCCTAGTACAAGCACCCACGCACAGATGCGTTAACATGGCATTGTAAGTGCAACAGTCTTGAATGTGACATTGCAGTAAAATTGTAAGTGTGGTGTAAGATATGCTTTGTTTTGTGGTCAGGGTTTGGGCAAGACTCTCCAGACAATATCCCTGCTGGGTTACATGAAGCACTACCGTAGCATCGCCTCACCTCATCTGGTCATCTGCCCCAAGTCCACTCTACATAACTGGAGGAACGAGTTCAACCGATGGTGCCCCACGCTCAGAGCTGTCTGTCTCATTGGAGACCAGGCACAAAGGGTAGGTTATGCTCATATATTTTTAACTGAAATATAATTTGACTTGCTTAGATATTATGTATCTGTGCCAATAAATCATTAGTTTTAACTATTAAATACTATTAACGCTTAGCATTGATTTTTTTTACATTTTAGTGTTGTCATTTGCAGTGATATTACTCGCAACTAGAACAGAATGTTTTTGACGAATATGTTTACGAGTGTTTTATTCACTAGTTTTTACTTTTGTACTTTTTACGAAACTAGTTTGTTGTTTATCTAAGTGAATGTAATGCAAAATGAAAATATCCAAGCAATGGCATAACGTTTAATCTTGTGTTGATTTGGAGTTGGCCTTGTGGCATTGTTCGCTATGTATTCCTTTGTTATTTTATTGCAGATATCATTGAAATCTTTCAACTTGAGCAATTACATGGCATGTTTGTTATTCTAATGCCCAGATATTTTAAACATAAAGTATTCATGAATAAATATTCGTATCCGTTACCATATATATGTAAATATGTCGTATTTGCCTCACAGTATATTTTCAGCCTTAGTATTGTCTGACTCTCATGCTGTTTCAGGCTGCATTTATCCGTGACACTCTAATGCCTGGCGAGTGGGATGTGTGTATCACCTCATACGAGATGGTCATTCGAGAAAAGTCGGTATTTAAGAAGTTCAACTGGAGGTATCTTGTCATTGATGAAGCTCACAGAATCAAAAATGAAAAATCCAAGGTAAGGCTCTTGAAACAAAGAGGCGTTACACCATCTGCAGACAGATACTCCTAGATTTCTTTCAGCATTAAATGTAATTGACGCTCATGAAACTGCAAAATACAAACTACTATTCATCTTGTGGAAACGGATAGGACTTTTTGACAAATGGCTTGATAGTTGTACTCAGACTAGCTGCAAACAATTCACTGAGTAACTGTCTATTCATATAGAACAACAAGTATTTATGTCAAGGGTCCTTGTGTTATTAAAGAATTTAGTTCGATGTTTACTGCATGTGTGGAGTTAACCGCAGAGGAAATCTTATCTAAAGTGTGCACAAAATGTTTGTGTTTATATCTCAATGAATGCAAAATATTGTTGAACATAAGAAATCAATCTCTATAAATAGACAAATCAACTGTAATACCCTCACAGACCGTTTTTCTAATCATTAACACATAAATGAACCAAGCAACACAAATTTTGTGACATTGATCAAAGCAATGGCGTAAGATTTAGATGCAGTTTTGTAACTTTGATGTGATCTATATGACATAGCGTATTAGAGTGTCCATTGACACATGTTTTAAGATGAGTTTTTCCATTTCAGCTTTCTGAGATTGTGCGAGAGTTCAAATCGACAAACCGCCTCCTGCTCACAGGGACTCCGCTGCAGAATAATCTGCACGAGTTGTGGGCACTTCTTAACTTCTTGCTCCCTGACGTCTTCAACTCATCTGACGTAAGGAACACGTAAAATACACAACAGACATAGCTTTTTGGATTGATAATTCTAGGTGTGGACACAGTGGTCCCCACTGGCCCCACAAAAGACAAACTTTGGGCTTAAAAACATGGGTCATTATCGAAAACTGTAACAGAAACATGTCTTCTATAGACCTTCAGAAACTACACAAAATATAATCTATCCCTCTGATGAGCAGTTGAACTAAGCTTTACTCTGAGAATCTAGGCTTCCATACTGTTCATGTGGTTATCAGTCTGATCTTGAAGAATTATATGTTCTAATTGACTATGTAAACTTATACTCTAAATAACAGCAGAATGGTCTATGACGTGAAATATTTATGATTATCATTAACATGTTGACTGAATCATTGGCTAGAGAAGAATGTTATGTCATTGGGAATGACAGACAATATAGTGGTAGTGTAGATTACTATCGAAGGAATACATGCCTCTATACCATGTTATCTATCATACAGATAATGACTAAGTTCGTATCCAATCATGTTGTCAGGACATAATCATCTGTATATGTGTTGTGTCAGTTTCTACTTTTACTCTAACTTCTGGTTTTTCTTTCAATGCAGGATTTTGATTCTTGGTTTAATGCCAACAATTGCTTCGGAGATGTTGCCTTAGTTGAAAGACTTCATGCGGTAAGTGCTCAGAATGGTCATTTATAATCGAATCGGTTGTTCAATCAGACTAGTCATTTATGTAGTACCTGTTTGCAGTCCGTGAAAGTCTGCTCAAAGGCGCTTAGATTATTTTTATTATTATTATCATTATTATTAATGTCATTATAGTGAGTTGAAAGGTTTACAGCCAGTGTAATGTTCCCAGGATGAGGAAGTATTTGTTTACTTCATCAATTTAGTTTAAGATTACAAACTAAGTAAGAAAGCACCCATCCTTCTTTGACACATATGTCTACTATTTTCATTCTCATTTTTTGACAGGTGCTTCGACCTTTCTTGCTGCGACGTATCAAGTCAGAGGTGGAGAAACGATTGCTTCCTAAGAAGGAAACCAAGATCTTTGTTGGTTTGGGCAAAATGCAGAGAGAATGGTAAGAATAGTTATTTCGTTTTCTCCTTGAAAGTAGATATTCACGTTTCACCCCAATCCTTGTTATTTATGGTCTGAGTATGTGCTTTGTAGTATGTCCCAATACAACCCGTGAAGGTCCGGGTTAGAATATTGATCTTCAGTAACCCATGCTTGTCGTAAGAGGCGACCAACGGGGATCGGGTGGTCAGGCTCGCTGACTTGGTTGACACATGTCATCGGTTCCCAATTGCGCAGACCGATGCTCATTCTGTTGATCACTGGATTGTCTGGTCCAGACTCGATTATTATACAGACTGCCGTCATATAGCTGGAATATTGCTGAGTGCATCGTAAAACTAACTCACTCAATATGTACCAATACATGTGAGCATCAGTAGTTGTGGTATTACGTTTCAACTAACATATATAGGACGGAACAGTTTGTTTCATCCATCAGTTTGTTATGAGTGAGTTCGTTACAAAATGCAGTTCACTGTATTTACATTGAAACAAAATTGTTGATAAACAGTTGATGTTGTACATATGAAGTATGTACCTGAATGGATGTCTACTACTCATAGGGGCGGTTGGGTAGCCTGATGGTTAAAGCGTTCGCTCATCACGCCGAAGACCCGGGTTCGATTCCCCACATGGGTACAATGTGTGAAGCTCATTCTGGTGTCCCCCGCCGTGATATTGCTGTAATATTGCTAAAAGCGGCATAAAACCAAACTCACTCACTCACTCACTCACTCACTCATAGGTACACAAAGATTCTGATGAAGGACATTGACATTGTGAATGGAGCTGGCAAGACAGACAAGATGCGACTCCTCAATATTCTCATGCAGCTGAGAAAGTGCTGTAATCACCCCTACCTGTTTGATGGGGCTGAGCCGGGTCCCCCGTACACCACGGATTACCACATTGTAGAAAACAGCGGAAAGATGGTCATCCTTGACAAGATGTTGCCCAAACTCAAGAGAGAAGGTTTGTCTTGACAAATGAACTTATTTCGTAACCATTATCTATGGGGTAGTAGTTTCCAGTCAGCACAAATTCAAATTCACAAGTTGACTGAGGAAGAATGTGGAAGGTTAATGGTTCAATCCTTGTAGCAAATGACAACAAAAGATGGTACTTGACAGAGGTACAGATAAGCTGCGTATCTGCGTAAATTACCCAAATATTTATGTGAAAACTCAATTCCTATTATGTCTATTATGCGTTCACGTATGCTTGAATTTTGTACATACTCAATAATTTTGATCTTACATTCGTACACACAAAAATGTCACATTTTAGCTTGCATATTGGTGATTTATCGTTTCTCATATTACAGATCAAATATAAATTATAAACACTTAAATCATCATTTAATCTTTATATTTTTACAATTAATGTAAAATGGCAAAATACCCAATTGAGTTTGAGTGCGGTGGGTATAATTATTTGGTTACTGAAAGGAAAATAAGGATACCCAATTGAGATGAACACAAGTAAGTACATCAGTGTTAGCGAATAGTGTCTGACCCTCTGACAAATCCGTCAGATTCGCCAACGGTCCGATAGAAGTCTACAACCCACCGGCCCCAGTGTCCGACTGTATATTTCACAATGACTTTGACTGAAGCTGTTATATGTGACATGTGACACTTGTTTGCTGTTTATTTTATCTTAATTTTTCTTATGTTTGTTAATAATTTCAGTGCCAATTATAAGAAATGTTAAATCTGAAATGTGTGTTTAATTTTATTCTATGGGTCCTGTGAATTTTCAATGGGTCAGACAGACATCTTAAACTTACAGGACCCAATGTCCTGTTACTTTGAAACACCATTCGTGAACACTGTAAACTCTGACTCGCATATGCAGCTATTGATACATTGTGAAAAGATGCGTTCATTTTTAAGAATCTAATGGCACATTGCCCTATCAGAATCATTTCCTGGTGTCATTGTGGTATCTGATATGCATGTGGTGTTTGTAGGGTCACGGGTGTTGATCTTCAGTCAGATGACCCGTATGTTGGACATCCTGGAGGACTACTGCTACTGGAAGCAGTATGACTACTGTCGTCTCGACGGAAGCACTCCCCACGAAGAGAGACAGGTAGGCCCTCGCAAGCTGATTGTGAATTTTAACTGATTGTAAACATCCTAGCTCAGTGCAGTTGATTTTTCAAAGCTGTACGGAATATACAGGTTGTTTGCAAGTATGAGCTCTATACATCCTGGCCTGAAGCAGTAGATTCTATAAACTTTTACCTATTATATAGGTTGAGTGGATGGTTAAGAAAAAAACACACATTGGAGGCTTCTCCAGTGTGACTCTTCTATTCTTTTTCATAAGAGATCCTAATTGTCATCTGAAATAATGTCCTGAGCAGGCATGACTGCTTTATTATTAAACTATATTTAGACATTTGATCATGATAAATATAACTTTCAAATTTCCACTATGCAATATTGACATGTCAAGCCAAATTTTCAGTTATTTCATTTGATGTTAAACCTTTCACGTTTCAAAGGAGCCAAAAGTTTCTAATTACACCCTTACTTGATGGTGTCAACCAATGACTCACTGGCTTGTTAATTTACTTCGACAGAATTCCATCAATGACTTCAACATGCCTGACAGCAAGAAGTTTGTCTTCATGTTGAGTACGAGGGCTGGCGGTCTTGGCATCAACCTTGCTACTGCCGACATTGTCATCTTGTTCGACTCTGACTGGAATCCCCAAGTTGATTTACAGGCTATGGTAGGTTTGATCTGACAAAAGGTTTCTGGAGTGGACATTCTTGTTTATATAATACCTGAGGATACGTTGTTTTCGTTTATTTCAGGTAAAAGTCACAGCATTATTTTCTGCTGGTTTATTACATGTTACTTCTGTGGAAATGAACCTGTTTTGTTTGTGAATTTTAGGACAGAGCTCATCGTATTGGTCAGAAGAAGCAGGTGAAGGTGTTCCGTTTCATCACCGAGAACACAGTGGAGGAACGTATTGTGGAGAAAGCTGAAATGAAACTGAGGCTTGATAACATCGTCATTCAACAAGGTGAACACATCCTCTTGTTACTTTCTTGAGACTGCAGGCAAGCCTAGCATTTGGGGAGCCAGGGATATATTTGTTATCTACATATTTGTTAATTGTGAAGAATGAGGTTAATCACAGACTGAACATGTTCCTGTTTCCTTGCGTAAAATAAACTGAAAAAGAACCACACTACACACCTAGTTTATAGCCTGTTTGCAGTGAAAACGTACCGGTGAATTGCACTTTGAACAAAAATGTAAATCGAATAAAGTGAAATTAAGAATGCGAATCTTCATAATTCTACCTTGCCAATTGAACATTTAAATCTTAGATTTTTATTCAACTTATGAAAAAAGTTTAACGAACGATCATAGTTTCAAATCGCTTATATTGGTTTGTATTACAAGAGGGTAAGCGCAGTTGTTGAAACAAATGCACGTGCGGTACGTGATGAGCGTTAACTTAGACCAACCCTACTTGATCTCGGTGTTTCATTTTATGTGCATACCCCCTTGTAATACAAACCAATAATACCGATTTGAAACTATGATCATTTGTTAAACAACTTTCATCCCAAGTTGAATAAAATTCTGAGATTTAAATTTTCAAATGGCAAGGTAAAATTATGAAGATTCGCAATCTTAATTTCACTTTATTTGATTTACTTTTTTGTTTAAAGTGAAATTCATCGGGTACGTTTTCACCACAAACAGACTATAATAAAGGAGTACATTTATCACTGGCATACATAAATATAGATGTCGATAACGACCTAATTAGAAGCCTCTGCAATATTTGATCTCATCTTTGTGTCTTTTGATTTTTAATGCATCGACAATAGTTTCTCCGGGGCTATTTAAATCGGACACGAGGATGAGTTTCTGTTGATTGTCCAGTATCATGGTAACTCATGATGTCACATTAGTCTGCAGAGTATATCTCGATCTACATAGTATCTCCTGTGGAAGCCAGTCTTATTAATAAACACATTCATTCCAATATTTGTTCTGTGTCGTTTCAGGTCGTCTGCTGGATCACTCGGCCAACAAGCTTGGTAAGGACGAGGTGTTGAGTATGATCAGGCACGGTGCTAGTCACGTATTTGCGTCGAAAGACAGTGAAATCACAGATGAAGACATCGAATCCATCATCGAGAAGGGAGAGCGAAAGGTACTAACCATAATACAATGTGGTAAGATGGACATTGGTCCATCCGTCCGTTAGCATTATTTTTGCCTTTTATTAAACTGAGACATAGTCAATCTGTCGTATGGGTATTAATTAACTGTTTCCATAACATATTTCAATATTTTGAGTTAGCAAAGTTGTTTTCATGACCAAATATACCTTGCTAGAACAGCCTGTTAGCTTGAGCCATTTTCTTCTTTCAATTTCTATTGTCAAATGTGAAAAGAAAATGTACAAATTTGGTTTTCATGTTCTAATGGGCATTGTTTAAAATTGCACATCAGTGTCAGTGGGTCCATGTCTTTACAGAGATATTTTAGTTATCGATTCAGGATTTCCATTAACTCAAAACAATGGGAGTTGAGTTTGATGAAATATGGCTATATTCAACCCTCATGATGAGCGAATGTTCTTGTAGACTGAAGAAATCAACGAGAAGTTTGAGAAGTTGGGCGAGGGAAGTCTGCGGACGTTCACCATGGAGTCCCAGGAGAGTGTCTACAAGTTTGAGGGAGAGGATTATCGTGACAAGCAGAAGTTGGGCATAGGCCACTGGATTGAGCAGCCCAAGAGAGAAAGGAAAGCTAATTACGCTGTGGATGCATACTTCCGAGAGGCGCTACGTGTCAGCGAGCCTAAGGCTCCCAAGGTAAGCCTAAAAACCCTAATTCACAGTGTAGCATTGCAGTGATGTGCCCTGTCAGTGTAGTGTTGCAGTGATGTGCCGCGACACAGTATAATGTTGCAGTGATGTGCCTTGACACAGTATAATGTTGCAGAGATGTGCTGCGACACAGTATAATGTTGCAATTTGCCGCGACACAGTATAATGTTGCAGAGATGTGCTGCGACACAGTATAATGTTGCAATTTGCCACGACACAGTATAATGTTGCAGCGATGTGCCGCGACACAGTATAATGTTGCAGTGATGTGCCGCGACACAGTATACTGTTGCAGTGATTTGCCGCGACACAGTATGTTGCAGCAATACAGTATAATGTTGCAGTAATTTGCCTCGACACAGTATAATGTTGCAGTGATTTGCTGCGACGCAGTATTATGTTGCAGCGATGTGCCGCGACACAGTATAATGTTGCAGCGATGTGCCGTGACACAGTATAATGTTGTAATTTGCCGCGACACAGTATAATGTTGCAAAGATGTGCTGCAACACATTATTATGTTGCAGCCATGTGCCTCAATGCTGTATAATGTTGCAGTGATGTGCCAGAACACAGTCTAGTGTTACAGTGATTTGACCTGAGACATTATAACTTTGGGTAGTAATGTTGCAGTGATGTGCCAGTGTACCATGGATTTAATATGTTGCAGGCACCACGTCCCCCAAAGCAACCCAATATTCAGGACTTCCAGTTCTTCCCTCCCCGGCTTTTCGAGCTGCTCGACAAGGAGATCTACTTTTACCGAAAAACTATAGGCTACAAGGTTTGTATGCAACAACTGATGCATGTAAACGTATCTTACAAGGGGTATATGATTCATGTGTCCCCATTGGATATTGGGCCACAAACAGGATGACTGGTAGAAAGTTTGCAATTTCATTAGAAATAACAGATACTTTGAATGCGAAGCATTGTAACATTTGAATTGTATAAATATTCTTGAAGCACAGCAACTCAATGTCCTGAGGGTGCCAGATTTTGTTAAGTAAAATATTTTTGGGGAAGGGAAATTTTTGCTCAAATCTGTGTGTTTTCCTGACAGGTACCGAAGAACCCAGATCTGGGGTCAGATGCTGACAGAGTTCGTAAGGAAGACCAGATGAGGATTGACGAGTCAGAACAGTTGAACGATGACGAGATAGGAGAGAAGGAAGACCTCCTCAAACAGGTAGACGATTAGTAGTTACCTGCTTGTGACCAGTAGTAGCAATTTGTTCTCATTTAAACTGTCATGTTTTTATGAAGTGTTGGTGGTAATTGTATAAACAGACACATCTTAGAAGAATCCATGAATTTAACAGAAGACATGGTTGTTGCTTTTAAATCTGAAATCAATGGATCAATCCATCCAATGGAATATGTGGTCCATAGTAATCTGATATAGACAGACACCTGTTATTTGATTGAAGAATGACAACAGTTTGTGCAGAGCCTAATCAATGCTGACCTTGATTTACAAATCTGTCTTGCAATTACTTTTAATTTCGGTCGGATAATGTACATTTAGAAGACATTAGAGACCTTGTACTTTGTAACAGACATTTTCCTTGAAACCTGATACCGTATATGACCATCTATAAGCCGACCCCATGGATAAGCCGACCCCCAAACTTGACCCTCAAAATCAGTGTCAAAATCATATCTCTCATGGATAGGCCGACCCCCCCGCGATGGGTCGCGGCCAACAGAGACCAGAGTACCCAGTAAGTATGTTCCATCAACGACGAGACACCATTACGAGAATATTACATAATAAAGATTACCGGTGTTTGTTTACCTTTTTTTAACGATCACTGCTTGCATCAACAACGAGACGCCATTTGGAAAGTGGATATACAGCGTAAGTGTTGGTGAGAATATTACATAATAAAGATTACCGGTGTATTGTGGCAACATGTGTTTGTGTTCCTTTTTATATCCCGATGATCACTGCTTGCATCAACAACGAGACGCCATTTTGTGAAATCGGTGAGTATGGAGAGAAAAAGTACCATCGGTAAATAAAAACTGAAGTCAACTTTTGTTTCAAAATATATTATTTAAGTGTCCATATTTCATCTATATATATATGACAATAAGAAAAATAGTCCACTAACAATAAACACTGACATTTCTGCAAGAGAGTTCTGAGATTTTCACAAGTCATCGGCCGTAAACCCATCAAATTCCGTGTCACTGTCCTCCTCATACTGTAAGTCGATCCACATTATTCAAAGAATTCACTGTCATATATTGTGTCTACTCACGGATCGAAACGAAGTGTAGTTGACAGAAAATGCATAATATATTTTGCTTCTCTAAATATCATATTTATTGTAGCAACAAACTGGCTTTGCTTATTTTACCCCATTCAACAATCACAAACTGATTACGCCTCGTTCCATGTCACGTGCTTACCATCGTTCATGATGGTCCATATAACCTTAGTGTTGATTATATATTTTTTACATAAAAACTATTACACAATGCTAGGATATATTTCTTTGGGTTAAATAATAGTATTCAATCAATAGAATTCATCCCGTTATATTATTGTGCATGTTTGAACTTGTTCGCGGGGAAACGTGTGCACAGCTGATTGCTATTTCTGGCTTTGTGTACGAGACAAATACGCACGGTAATCTTAATTAATTTATAGAGCAAAAACTGTAACTAAAATTACACAATGCTAGGATATATTTCTTTGGGTTAAATAACGGTATTCTGTATTATATTTTACTGATGACTGCGTCAGAATTCGTCCCGTTATATTATTGTGCATGTTTGAACTTGTTCGCCGGGAAACGTGTGCACAGCTGATTGCTATTTCCGGCTTTGTGTACGAGACAAATACGCACGGTAATCTTAATCCCTGCAAATAAAACAATGCCCAGCAAAAACAACTTATAACTTAAAAGGTAATTAATCTTGTCTAGTGATGTTTAATTGCAAATTTGACGTCTCTACTGACAAAGTCGTCTTCTGTTGTTTGTTCACGCGAAGTGATACGATGTTGTTTTCTTACCCCTGGAAAAAAGTTTGACGAAAGTGTAACTCATGGATAAGACGACCCCCTTCTACAGACGGCTTTTTTTGGTCCTCAAAATTCGGCTTATAGACGGTCATATACGGTATGTTCTTTCTAAGTATTCCCGACCGCGTCATACCAAAAGACGTTAAAATATGGTACTTGTTGCTCGGCATTAATGGGTACAACAAGGACTCTCGGCTCAGAGTCCGTATAATGTGTCGGAGTGGGGTATTCATGCTTCACTGCGGCATGGTATCTCAGTGGGCTAGCACTATAAAACCAGCTTAAGTCTGGGCTCGTACAAGCAGCCACACATACACATGCATGCACGTCGTCATATGAGCGAAATATTCTCAAGCACGACGTTAAACCCACTTTCACGTCACCTTTCTAACTATTGTTTGTGGTTGCAGGGTTTCACCAACTGGACCAAGAGAGACTTCCAACAGTTCATCAAGGCAAATGAAAAATATGGACGTGATGATGTTGAAAGTATTGCAAGAGAAGTGGAAGGCAAAACACCAGAAGAGGTAAATCATTAAAGTTGAAAAATTCATTCTTGACATTGAGGCAGTGACTGACATTTGAAAATGTTTACCTGTAGGTCATGAGTTCATATTTTAGGGTTGTATCATTTTGTCCTGCAAATCTGTTTGTCCATGTTCATTCTATTTGTATTAAAAATATGACTTCATGAGTGTATTTTCAAGATTAAATTGATTCAACCAGTGTATTCCGTGTATATGAATGACATTTAAAAAACACTCATTATATAGTTTGACACTAGTAGCCCAAACATCCATTTTAAAATGGGGCCCTGTATTCTGTTGGATGTTTGCAGGTGATTGCCTATTCAGCGGTCTTCTGGGAACGATGTAATGAGCTCCAGGATATTGAGAGAATCATGGCACAGATCGAGAGGGGAGAGGCCCGAATCCAGCGGAGGATCAGCATCAAGAAAGCCCTCGATGCCAAGGTGAGGATTGTCTCAAGATAGTCATGAAAATACTTGTATTCAGAGTAATGAAAATAAATCATTACATTTCATAGGCAGATCCAGATTAACTATTGTATTCTAAAATTGACCAAGTTCTCAAATCAAATAGAAGGTGTCATAATACAAGAGCAGTGATCATAGCAGCAAGACAATGATGGTAAAGCAAATGATCACCATGTTATTCTGTATGTAGATGGCCCGCTACCGAGCTCCATTCCATCAGCTGCGTATCCAGTACGGAACGAACAAGGGCAAGAACTACACCGAGGAGGAAGATCGGTTCCTGGTGTGCATGTTGCACAAGCTGGGCTTCGACAAGGAGAATGTGTACGACGACCTCCGCCAGGCAGTCCGACAGGCTCCTCAGTTCCGATTTGATTGGTTCATCAAGTCAAGGACTGCTATGGTTAGTATCAAAAACTAACAAAATTTTGCTAGTGGATCATGTTTTTGGACCGCCGCCATATAGCTGGAATATTGCTGAGTGCAGCATAAAACTAAACTCACTCATGTTTTATGGTCTCTGTATACTATTTGCTATGGAGAGTGATATTTGTACCAATGCAAGAGATAATCTGAAAGGAATACTTGTGCATTCACAAAATCTTGTGTTACATTAACCATGAGTCCATTTTGAGCTACGTACTCTGGTTTGTTGGTGTGTCATTGTATGATCCATCAATCAGTTGATCGTTATTCAACATATCAAGTACTGGATGGTCTGGTCCAAACTTGAATATTTCCAAGCAATATCAAATAGTTTGAATATTGCTGAATACAGAAACAGGTAAAGAGAATTATTGGTAACCTAGTTGGGTAAAGTGGTTAAAAGCGTTCGGGCGCTCGCCACGTCGAAGGACGAGGTTCAATTCCCCATATGGATACAGTGTGTGAACCCCATTTCTGGTGTCCCCCACCATGATATTGCTGGAATATTGCTAAAAGCGGCGTTAAAATAAACTCCCTAACTCACTCACTATTAGTCATTAATTGCAATGGACATGTACACTCAGTTGCGTTCTCGTGCCCTCCCTGATTTCAAACAAGATTGTCTTGACCTGTTTGAACTTCTCTTCCCCAGGAGTTACAACGTCGTTGCAACACCTTGATCACACTGATTGAGAGAGAGAACATGGAACTGGAGGAGAGAGAGAAGGCGGAGAAGAGGAAGGGACGGCCAAAATCAGGAACACCCAAGGTAAGTACCGTCAGTTTCAGACTGTATTGTTGTGGGTCAACATAGTTAAGGGCCCATTTCCAGAGACTCATCTTAGCGTTAAGGTGATCACATCTCCCATATTTAACATTGGCTTAAGATAGTCGCAGCACTAAGAATACTCTGTGGGACCAGGCCCAAGGGTATAACACAGGATTTAATGCTAAGCTTACATCGTGTCCGCGTTATCATTAACTTCACTATGTGGGGGGTTGACTTTGTAGTTAAACTTTGGGGTGTCCTGGGTTTGATTCATCATGTGTGAAGAATGTTTGAAGGGTTCTACGTGATACTGCTTGAATAAATTTTTAATCTTACACGTTCCTGTTTTTGCCTTATAATAAGATGTCTCAAGTCTTAATGTCAGCATCTTGCGACAGTAAAGCAAAATTTCGTTTGTGATTTCAGAGTCAGAAGCGGAAGGCAGATGGTACGCCTGACGGACGAGGCCGGCCCAAAAAGAAGAAACCATGAGGACATGTGTGTTAGAAGTGAACTATTTATCGGTTGAGTTTACTGCTAATGGCCTGGTGACTAGTATCAGCCAGTCTGCTTCTGGTCAGACCTGCATTTATGTTGTAAATCATTGTCTCTCATATCTCAATGATAACTTCAGAATTCTGGAAGAGATGAAGGAAGACATGTCACAACATTGATGTCCAGCCAAGCACCTGTCATTATTGTCGTATGTGCTTAGTTATGTTGTGTGTGCGGGAGATTTTCATCATGGTATTGTGCAGTTGCCATGGTAATGAAACTAATTTCGACTAACTGTGACTTAATATCATAAAAACTTAAGCAAAAATGTAAATTTTCTTAAAGTATAACATGGTATTTAGTGGATACTAATGAACAAGTCTTGTTGATTCCAAGGAAGTGTTTCATTAATGTAAGACATTCATCCAACATTCTTGATTTACATAAAAGATCACTTTCTTATGTCAAGCGAACCATTACAAATGGATGTTACTTTCAGTCAGAAAAACTTGCTGGGTCCGGTGTGATGTCCAAGTTTTACTGTCTTATCACCTCTTTCACAAGCGTTGAACATTTTAGGTTAACATTTAATATTTCAATTTTATATTTTGTAAATATTGTGTAATTTTAGGCTTGTTGATTATTTATGTCTGTTAGCTATACGTTTTGTATGTGATCTGTCTGAGACGAGGGAGAAGCTCCAATTGTGAATTCTGTTCATTAATGTGTGATGTGCACCAGTATCACTGTACCATTCATCATGGCCATATTCATGGAAAAGTAATTTGGTATCATGTTTTGAGAATAAAAGGTCTCATATATCAAACTAGTTGCATGTGATATTTACTTCTTTAGATTCAGATTGGAGGAGACAAGATCAAGAGTCTGTGTTCATCTGTGATAAGGGGCAGTGGGGTGCTAAGCGTTTGCACCTCGAAGTTCGATTCCCCATGTGGGTGCAATATGTGAAGGCCATTTCTGGTGCCCCCCTCCGTGATATTGCTAAAAGCAGTGTTTAAAACTCCCAAAATTCCAAGCCAGACAGCCGGACTCTTAACTTAAAAATTACCAGTCCGGATACAAACTTGCCGGTCCGGTTTTCAACAATGAAGAAGAAAAATCAGGTTTCCGAATACTTTACTGTTTGGAAGCACTAACAGGCAATGCACTGAGTTTAGGTATGCTGAAAGTACATGTGTTGTGATTGGTTATTGTAAAATGAACAGTCCAATCGTAAATAGTTTAACTTAATTATCATAATACCTTAAACACCTCAAACTGACAAAAGAACCTGTCTGATATGAAATATTTACTGCTAGGGGTAAACACATCTACCAGACCGGCTACTTTTGAAATTTGACCGTCCGAGATGAAGATAGACCCGTTCCGGACGGCTGGGCAGGCGGGAAGTTTAGAGGCTGCTAAAAGTGACATGAAACAATTCACGCACTCGCTAATCTGAGATAACTGCAAACTATCCAGACTATAATTAGTGTCCCCATGGAAAACTCCCTTGCATGGTGCTATCATTTAATCAGTGATACAAATGTCAGTGTTTAAAGAAAGCTATGACCAGAACTACTAGTTTTTCTTTCATGGGGACCGCTTCCCTGGTGTAGTGGTTAGAGCGGAAGGTCACGGGTTCGATCCCCGACCGCGTCATACCAAAATACGTTAAAAGATGGTACTCGTTGGTCCCTGCCTGGCGCTCGGCATTAATGGGTACAACAAGGACTGGTCGGCTCGGAGTCAGTATAATGTATCTGAGTGAGTGGGGTATTCATGCTTTACTGCGGCATGGCATCTCAGTGGGCTAGCACTATAAAACCAGCTTAAGTCTGGGCTAGTACAAGCAGCCGCACATACACATACACACGCATGCACGTTAATTACAACTCAATCAACTTCAGAAATGTATTTTCAAAGTGGTTATAAAACCGTTAACTTCCAATATTTGCGCCACGAGACATATGGTGACGTAATCCATTGTTGATGACGTAAATGTATGCCGTTATCACACAGACTTGGTATACTGTCATGTGAATAACAGGAAAAGACGTTTGATTGGCTGGCTCAGGGATATTTTCAGACAAATGATACATTTTCTTCATTTTAGCCATTATAGCGGTACCAATATTTTCAGAGGCAGATTTCAGGTGTCCCTTGCCATGATACCACTGGAATATTGCTAAAAACGGCGTATGTACTCACTTTCATCTGCCCTCCTTCGTTGGGCAAGTAATGACATCGGGTTTCTGTCAAAGATAACGCCCTGACACAAATAGTGAGTGAGTTTAGTTAAAATACGCCGCACGCAGCAATATTCCAGCTTTATAGTGGCGGTCTGTAAATAATTGAGTCTAAACCATACAATCCAGTGATCAACAGCATGAGCATCGATCTACGCAGTTGGGATACTATGACATGTATCAACCATGTCAGAGCCATTACCACCCAACCCCTCTTATGACAAGCATGGGTGAGTGAGTGAGTTTAGTTTTACGCCGCACACAGCAATATTCCAAGTACTTAGAGGTGGTCTGTAAATAAACGAGTTTGGACCAGACAACAACAACATGAGCATCGATCTGCGCAATTGGGAACCGATGACATGTCGTCAACCAAGTCAGCGAGCCTGCCCACCCGATCCCGTTAGTCACGTCTGACGACAAGCATGGGTTACTGAAGATCAATTTTAACCCGGATCTTCACGGGTAACCTGACACAAATAGCATTACCCTTGTATGAGTGGCAAGTTCACGTTAGATGTTGGTGTATGGCATCGTATCCTGTGTGTGTAGATTGGTGCTGATGTAAATCACTGGATTGTCTGGTTCAGACTCGAATATTTCCAGAACGCCGTCATCTAGCTGGAACATTGGGAGTGCTGCGTTTAACAAGAAAGTAGGTCTCTATATTCTAACCCCAAGTGACATTTCAGATGTAATGCAATGACCTTTATTTTGTTGACTGAATACAATGGCGTAATCTGACTTGATAACCCTTGTTGCTGACAGCATTCAGAAGCCCTGTGGTTAAACCGTTTGCTCGTCACGTCAAAAGACCCGGCTTCGATTCCCCACATATACAATGTCTACAAGGTGTAATGCCGATAAATGCGATGGTTAGCAATACATTTACAACCTGATGGCATTCTATTGTTATCATCGGGCAGTGTTATTCATAGAGTAACAATGTGGCAGTGTTATTCATAGAGTATCAATGTGGCAGTTTTATTCATAGAGTATCAATGTGGCAGTTTTATTCATAGAGTATCAATGTGGCAGTGTTTTTCTTTTGAGTATCACGTGACAGTGTTATTCATTGAATAACAGTGTTCAAAGTGTAATACATTGTATGTGTGAATAATCAGTGAGGGGCAGTTGTGTGCTGTATTTAGACGACTTTCTAGAAGATATTACTATAGTACTGTCGGAAATAGAAAAAAAACTGTATTTTCTCATTTATCTCTACAATTTATGTAGTTGATATGTGAAAGTGTGAAATATCTGTTAAACTAAGTTCGGCCTAACTACAGTCTCGGTAGTAGAGAGATAGGAAACTTTCGTAAGGACTTTACTGAGGGGAAATTAGTGCAGAAATGAGCAATGCGGTTTTTTTCTAAGTCCAAACAGACTTATTTGGAACAGACCATGGCTTTACGCAAATTAGTGTGCGACGATATTGTATTTCAAAGGGCGCTTTTTAAATGCCCAATTTGAAATTAGACGTAGATTCATTATAAACGATAGCTGACGTAAAAAATAATAACTTTTATGCCGAAACTATTAAGGATGTAGCTACCATGCAGTCTCACTGTCACTATAAAAAGAAACAGATAGGCGGGGCCGTCTCAAAAGCAAAACCTGGGGTCGGGCTTCGGGATAGAGATACATGTATCAGCTAAGATAAGATAATCCTTTAGGGCAATTATTCCGGGGGAGGTACACGGCACGTCATAACAATTTATAAATAATATCCAGTCCTGTCCTATATACTACGATGCGTTTCTATGGTTTTCGGGGATCATACTCTTTTACATATCTCTGTATATGAAACTATATGAAAGAAAGACACGTAAGATGTTAATCAATAGATGAGACATAGTCAACACAATGAAAAAGCAAAAAATATTTTTGAGATGACCCCTTGTGCCTGTAGGCAGCACGTGCATTTCATGCCAGGTGAGTCGACGGTCCATCGTCATACCTGGCTGAGCGACCTAATTGCCATCTATAGTCTCATCTATTGTTTTCAGCAGCTATTCGTATTTTTTCTAAGTTTTGCCCGATTTTACGAGTAAACATGCTTTCCTGGATATCGTATTACTCATCCCACTGAACGCCAAGTTAGGCCGAAGTGGGTTATTTCGACATATGCTATTTGCAATTGTGTAAATTTTAGGGATACAGAGTAACAGCCTAAAAACAGTTTTTTCCTATTTCCGACAGTACTTTTACTACTTCTAATAATGATAATTCATTTATATAGCACCAAGTACCCATCTGACTAGTTGCTCACTGGACGATGTAATCAGATTCTGATTATTATTACCCCGGTTGACCAAAGCTGCCTGTTAGGCGCTAGAGGATTATCGTCACATGACTTTATCCTACCGGGTACCCATTTTCTGCTGGGTGAACAGAGGCAATTTTGAACAAACTCTTGCCTAAGGTGAGACCACATGTATCATATGTGCTCACACATTTGTTGTGGGGCAGGACTGAAGTCCTAGAAACTCTCAGGGGTCAAGCTGCCAAACACGATCACCCATTCAAGGACTGTCCGAGCTCGACGTTCCTTAACTTCAACTGATTCGTGACCTGAGATCTACGCACAGGACTACACACCACGAACCCTATGGATTTTTCTGACCAAGGGAGTTGCAGAATCTTCTGGAGTCTTTTCCTGTGGTACATAAGGGAGCTAACTCTTGCAGGGCACCTTATATTTATTGTTTGAAGTTACAAGAAGACTGACTGACTGAGTGAGTTTGGTTTTACGCCGCTTTTAGCAATATTCCAGCAACATCACGGCGGGGAACACCAGAAATGGGCTGCACACATTGTACCCATGTGGGGATTTGAACCCGGGTCTTCGGCGTGACGAGCCAACGCTTTAACCACTAGGCTACCCCACCGCCCCAGTTACAAGAAGAGAGAGTGAGTGAGTGAGTTCAGATTTACGCCGCTTTTAACAATATTCCAGCTATATCACCGCGGGGGACACCAGACATGGGCTTCACACATTGTACCCATGTGGGGGATCGAACCCGGGTCTTCGGCGTGACGAGCCAACGCTTTAACCACTAGGCTACCCCACCACCAGTTACAAGAAGACCAGCTGTTGTGTGGAGATCATTCTTATCCTGGATACCCTATTTTGGTCACTTGGCCTCTGTTGTAGTGAGGCGAATATTACCATCTCGGTCTTTGTTGCAATAATCACCATTTTTATATAATACTGCCCTTGAATTTGTTATGCCAATGTATTACCGAGGTAGTGATTTGTATCAATTTGTAAACTTTCTTAATTTTAGAATTGTTATTAATATCACATTGCTTTGTTGTTTTCATACCGAATTCTTTCAAAGACTGATTCCCGGTTAACTTTTAGTTTCAACCTGAGATTAAACACGTAACACTGTTCATTAACCTTTGTATGGTGGCCGCAGGTATTGCCTGCCATTCTGCCATAAGAGTGAGTGAGTGATTTGGGTTTTACGCCACTTTTAGCAATATTCCAGCAATATCCCGGCGGGGGACACCAGAAACGGGCTTCACACATTGTACCCATGTTGGGAATCGAACCCGGGTCTTCGGCCTG